TCTTCTGACCGTTCTTGGTTTCGTCGTTGGTCTTGCCATTTCTTTCCGAACAAGCACCGCATACGAGCGTTACACCGAGGGCCGAAAGTACTGGAGTCAGTTGATCTTTGTTAGCCAAAACTTGGCAAGGACCATTTGGTACCACACTTCCGAACGCGAAGGCGACCTCGGAAAGGAGGATCTTCTCAACAAGCTCTCTGCGCTCAACCTTCTCAACGCCTTTGCCTGCTCTGTCAAGCACAGGCTCCGTTTTGAGCCTGGTATCGACTACCCCGATCTCCGCGACCGCATTGAGTACCTGGACACTTTTGCGCGCGCTGCTGAGCTCGATATCCCCAAGCCAGGCGACAAGAAGAAGATCAAGGCTGTTGGTGAATACCTCGGCGTCACATTCGCCGAGTCGAACCCCCGCAAGAGGATCAAGCGCTCCAAGAAGCCTCTCGGTAACCTGTCTCTCGAAATCCTGAATCATCTCTCCTGCTACGTCCACAGCATCATCGACAACGAAACTCTCAAGGTCGGTCTCTACCAGAACCAAGCCATTACCGGTGTTGTTCAGCTTAACGAGGCCCTCACTGGTATGGATCGTGTTCTCCAGACTCCTTTGCCTATCGCCTACTCCATCGCCATCTCGCAAATCACGTGGGTCTACGTCATGATGTTGCCTTTCCAACTGTGGGATGACCTCCGCTGGATCACCATCCCCGGTTGCATCTTCGCCGCCTACATCATGTAAGTCTCAGCCAATCAGCCATACTTAATCAACGCTAACAACCTTTAAGCATCGGTCTCTCAGCCATCGGTCGCGAAATCGAGAACCCCTTCGGTCACGACGTCAACGATCTTCCCCTTGAAGCCTACTGCGAAGAACTCGAAATGGACATCGACACCATCACCGCGCAACCACCTCCCGCTGCCGCTGAATTCATGCGCCGCCCAGGCAACATGCCCATCTGGCCGCTCAGCCAGAAGAACTTCGAGTCCTGGGCCGGAAGGAGCAAGCAGGATATCCGCGATGCGCTGATGACGAAGACAAAGGCGGATATGGCGGTCCGCAAGAGCTTTGCTGTTGCGAGGGAGAGTGAGAGCGAGGAGAAGGAACATCATGGGTTGCAGCAGCAGCATGATGCGTAGACGGAAAAGCAGTGGAGTTGTGCATTCGCATTTTAGAAGCGTTGGGCGCTGGTCAGGTGTTTATGGGTGTGTTCTTTTATCTTCCACCCAGGTTGTGCTTTCGATTCCACAAAAAGGGTTTCCACATCCCGCATAGCGTGGAAATTATACGTGGCAATACTAGCCTTTATTACACTGTGTTACTGTTTTCTCAAGTCTAGTGCCTATTTGGATGGGGATCTTTGCTTTCGAGGTGCGGACTACCGAGCCATGAACCCGTATATTTTCATTGCTCCGAATTTGTACTATCGTCGTCGGATAACCCCGGTTGGTCAGCTATTGGTGACCTAGATATGGTGTTGGATGAGCGCTGTTGACTGTGGACAGACTGATGGACTATTGCAAGTTGCATGAAGACTATTTCTCCACCCATGTGGACATTTGAGATGGTTGCAACAAAGCGATCATACAGTTGGCATCAGATGAGTATGCGCCTGCAACCTATGTGTGCTTTTTGTGGTGTTCGTCGTATAAGCGACGACGAAGGAACTCACAAAGCATCGTGCCTGCCCTAGGCTAGCGCGTGATGGCGCTTGGGCGTATGACGTCGCACCTACCCTACGCTTCACATCTGACGCTTGGGACGACTGCTCACATGCGGCCCAGGCCATCATTCATCCAAACGGCCCGTCTGCGTCAGGCGTGAACTAATGCACCCCTCTTACTTTGCGGGTCTGATACGCCTAGACCTGCTAGCATCTGGCATTTCTTTCACACTTTACAGCTGAGCTGAACTTGGCCAAACCTCACCCAGGCAACATCTTCAATGTCTGCAAACACAATGCCGGACCCACCGGCTACTTCGGTCATCACACAGACAACCGCGACAGAGATTCCAACCATCATCGAGCCAGAAGCAGACGCAGAAGAGCGTGGCCGGCTCAAGCGACGTAGGCAGTCGTCACAACATTCTCCACGCCGTGCATCCTCACCATCTCGCGGCCACGATCGCAACAGCGGTTCCCGATATCGAGAGCATCACCGCAAACATCATCGCCCTTCGTCTCCGACGTCTTCCGTCTCTCCGCCCACATCCGACCAGAAGAAGACCAGGCGGCGTAGTGATGCCGAGCCTGATCATACATTCAGAGGACGAGCACGCAACAGGAGTGGCAGCAGGGGAAGGACTAGGAGCCCCATCTTGGAAGCCGACGATGCATGTGCCGAGAGCGAAGATGATGTAAAGAGATTCAGGAAGAGAAGTGCGCCGCCCAGTCGGCACAGGATCGACGACTCGGACGAGGGGGGTGAGGTTCGGCGGCAGAGAAGCTATCCCAACCTATACAAAGAGGACAGGAGAGATTCCAAGGGCGAGGCTGGAGGGAAGACTCAAGGAGTGGGTTTCGTGAACTCGACAGGAGAAACCGAAGTGGTGCCCCACCAGGTGGACTAGCGTCCTGATTCGTTCTGGCCTGTGTACTCAGGACACATTCTTACAGAAGAGGTTCACTATGATACTCTGATGCATGTTGATTATGTACGAATAGCATTACAATTCTGTGGTTGCGTTTGCCTGGCTCCGGCTGTCTTGTCACCGACCATAGCACGCGACAACTGTCCCAGGGTCTCGCTTGCATGATCGTAGCGTGGCTGTGCACGCGACTCAAACGTGGCGCCTACAACGCGCCTGCATCATGCTACCGTGTTCCATGCTTGCTGCCCCTACGATGACTGCCGAGATCTTTTCTGCAGGTACAGCATAGATCGCATCCGAAGACTCCGGACTGCTCACCTCAGCATCGTATCCATCGTCTCGAAGGTTCCATCGCGAGGCGCAACAAAAAGCGCCCCACCCCCGCGGCCCTACCAATCATTGAAGCTTAACTCCGCCCTCACTCCCGTCGATTAACCTTCAGCCTTACCCCCTCCGTCGCTCGCTCACGTACCCCGTTATGCCTCCGCCAGGCAACGAATATGCCGCCGAGCAGCTGAAGAACTCGGGCAACAAGTGCTTTAAGAATGGCGACTACGAAGGAGCCGAGGGGCTGTACTCGCAGGCGATTCAGAAGAACTCCGCCAACCCTCTGTTGTTCACGAACCGCGCAAATGCGAGGCTAAAGTTGGAGAAATGGGAAGGAGTTATAGATGACTGTATACGGAGTATTGAGCTGTTGAAGGACAACATGAAGGCATTCTTTTACTTGGGTATGCTCTCATTCCCTACAGAGGGGCGTCAATCGTGACAGTCGCCTTACCACCATTGCGCGAGCTCTGCATGTCAAATCCCAGGCTGATGATAGTATAGCGCAAGCTCAACTCGCGATCAATCACCCCAACGAAGCCCTATCTTCAGCCCTCATGGCCTACGAGCTATGCACCACCTCCGCGCAACAAACCTCCAACGCAGCCACAATATCCGCCCTCGTTTTGAAATGCAAGAAAGCCAAGTGGGATATCCGTGAGCGAGAAAGAATACGGCGGCGCGGCGATCTGCTCTCCGACCTTGAAATGATGCTGGAAACACAGTACAAGAAGGACATGGATGAGATAGAAGCACGCATGGAGACCGCGGAAACCAGTCGCTCAGACGGGCAGGAAGAGAAAGCAGAGCGAAAGACAGAGTTCGAGAAGAAGCGCGACGATCTCAGAACCGCATTCGCGATTTCTGACCCGGAGCATCAGCAGAAACGCGAGGTCCCGGATTACCTTGTCGATGGCATAACGTTTGAGATTATGCACGACCCGGTCGTAACTAAGAACGGAAGATCGTATGAGCGCGCTACGCTGATTGAGCACCTCAAACGCAGTCCAACGGACCCGCTGACGAGGGAAACGCTTACCATCAACGAGCTGAGACCAAACATTGCCCTCAAGGAGGCATGTGAAGAGTTCATGACTGCAAACTCCGGGTGGGTTTATGATTGGTAGGTTTGCGAGACTTCATTGGTCCGCTTTTTATCATGGCAGGTACGTGGAGGGGAGGAACAACGAAAGTCGAGGAGCGTGGAGGATGTGCGCTGACAGTGTTGTAGTGAGGACGGTGAGGTAGATTCGGATGCGCGCTGGGCGCACTTATCTTCAGCTTGAGGTCGACCCCACAATCAATGTGTGCGGACGATTATCATATTTGCATCGGCTGGCGTTTGTTGGAAGTCTCGTCTTTTGTGCCAGCACATTCATGAGCGAGTATTGAGCGTTGTTGAAACGGTCGTAGTCCGATACCCACAGCTACATGTATTCCTCGATTGTCTCTTCTAACATCTTGGCGACACACTCCTGATCTATATTTTTGGAACCACATTCTTGAAACCACATTCCTGATACCACATTCCTGACGAGACACTTGCTGTGTAAAAGGAATGGTACGCGTTCTACCCAAACCCTCGGCACACCAGTTCCGCGAAAGCGCTGACGCCCAGAATTCCAGGGCGCGCCTTTGCCAACACTGATGTTCAGTTGGACTTGCAGCACTCAAGCGTCCAGCTCGGTGGTCGATCTCGAAGATGGGCCTCGCTTACGTGGGCCCAACGTTGGCCTGTTAAGCTCCACACTACTTTGTAGCAACCTCGGCAGCTTGCAGCCTGTGATCGCTGGCTGCCTTGACTACACTAATTCGGCTTCCAACCCAAACTGTAAAGCCGTAGTTGCATCACATACGCTAGGAAAGCTTCAATGGGGCGTAAAGTACATGTGGCTACCGGTCCGGATCTCGTATTTCGACTAGTCTCGGGCGCGCGATGATGGGGTACACCGATGTAAGATAAAAGACGGGCTAAGGTGGGGAGTTGAGATACTCCGCAGCTTCTGATCTAATAACTGCACAGCTCGATCACAAGCACCTACAAGCACCTATTCTCTCGCCTTGCTAGTACCTATCACGACACATGATGGATACAACACGCCCCGCTCCCTGGCCACAGGCCACTAATGAACTTCTTCCAAACACACTGTTCAAACTCGCGGCTCAATATCCTTCCGCGACGTACGCAGAGTTTCCGGTGAATCCGCACAAGATCGAGGATGGATATCGTAAGATCACGTTTGCTGAAGTAGCAAATGCTGTTTCTGCCTTCGCACGGTGGATAGAAGAGAACATCGGGAAGCTGCAAGAAGAGGAAAAAGATGGAACACGAACTTTGGTGTACATGGGACCGAACGACATACGATATGCGGTATTATGTTTGGGAAGTGTGATTGCGGGATACAAAGTAAGTCGTCCTCCGACATGAGCGTCTTGATGGTGGTTCAAATGGCTAAGGACGAAGATAGATGCTCTTTCCATCGCCAAGATACGGAGCTGAAGCACTGGTCAAATTGATTGAGAGTGTGGACGCAAAGGCCATGCTGAAGTCTGAGATTCCGATACCAGTTGTCAAAGACGTTCTGTCAATGAAGGATATGAAGACACTTCAGATACCGAGTGTAGAGCAGCTACTCACCTCAAAAGCGGAGCCGTATCCATACGACAAGACCTATCAACAAGATTCTCGAGAACCTTTTGTTTGTCTCCGTACGTACACTCGCTCTCGTCTGCCCGTACTACCTCTAACCAAACGCAGATACATCCGGCACAACGGGCTTTCCCAAGCCCGTTCTCTGGACACACGAGTGGACGAACAGTGTGGCCCAAACCATGTATCTCACCGCACCACCAGGCTACAAACTAGACCAAGAGCTTCTCTACGGATCAGCGAACGGGCGAGGAATGCGAGGAATGTTTCTCTTCCCACCTTTCCACGCCAGCGGCATGATCGGCATGATCCTCTTTCCACTGCAGCTCGGTGTAACACCAATATATCCACCAACATGGATGACACCAGCTGCGGGTGTGGACAGTGCACTAGTCGCTCTAGATATCATCGCCGCAAGAGATGGAGGCGTCGGTGTCGATTGCCTGACACTCGTGCCACCCTGTGTCGAGTATTTAAGCAAGAGCCCAGAAGTCCTACAGAGACTCAGCCAGAGAACGCAACAAATCGGCTGGGGTGGCGGCAGTGTGAGTAGTCATGCGAGTGAGTTCGTTGCAGCGCAGGTGTCTGTGTTGAATGTTATGGCATCAACCGAACTCGGCGTCTGGCCTAGTATCCGTCGCAACGATGCAAATTCATTGCAATCTGCGTACTGGGAGTATACGACACTTCATCCCGCTCTCAACATCCGCTTCGACCCTGTTTCTGCTTCCACGGACGGCGTCACTTTGTATGAAGCTGTCATGTATCGCAACGACGGGAAGGAGCACGGCGGCTATGTGCAACCCATCTTCTCCATATTCCCAGACGCAAAAGAAAGGCGGCTTGGCGATTTGTTTACAAAGCATCCAGAAGATTCGGAACGATGGAAACACTACGGCCGGGCTGACGATCTTCTTGTTTTCCTGACGAACGAGAAGTTCTTCCCTACAGCTGCAGAACAGAGGATGGCAAGGCATGCTTCAGTTGCGGAGGTAGCAATGGTAGGGACGAGAAGGCCCAAAGCCTCGTTGATTGTTAGGATGGAAGACGGGAAGGATGTGCATGAGATCTGGGACACGGTGGAGGAAGTGAACAAGAGCTCGCCAGTTTATGCACGGGTGGGAAAGGATATGATACTGGCTGTGAAAGAGCCGTTCCCAAAGACGGCCAAGGGAACAGTGCAGAAAAAGGCTTTGCTGGATTTGTATGAGAAGAAGCTGGACGCTTTGTACGGAAGTGTTAGTGCCTAGGCGCATGCGGCCTGCACATATACTTAACACCCAAAGCTTAAGCATTGCCGCTTAGCTGCTGTTTCCATCCTGCCGGGCATGTACCAGTGCATGCTAACCCACTGTCGCTGTTCATATTGGAACAAAGTATCTTCGCCGTACCACCATTTTTCGGCCTGATATCGATATTCTTGAGCTTCAAGCCCGTGCAAGGTGCGCCACGACTGCAGTAGATACCCGCGGCCACGTTATATCTCGAGGTACCAGTGATGTTTTCCCAGGTAATGTCGCTAATCTTCAAGCGGCTTGAATCGCAATTCTGGTAGCTGTAGATGCACGGGGAGACGTATATAGGCTGATTGACGTCCTGAAACTTGATGTTGCGGAAGGTGACGTTCTTCACATGGCCTTGGCCAGGGTATGTCTTGATCCAGGCCGCGTTGGAACTATGAATGGCAGTAATGTCTTCGAAGAGTACGTTGTCTACAGTCTCGGGAACGTTCGTGGGATTGCCCATTGAGCCAATCACCATGGCGCCAGACTCGTAGCAGGTGGCATTCTTAACATGGATGTTCTTGCTGTTGCCTTTAACCGATATGCAGTCCTTCGGATAGATTAGGTATAGCACAGACACGAGATCGATGAGGACTTACATCGCCACACGTCACCACCCAGTTTTTGAGAACAATATCTTGGGAGTTCCAGCTATCGAAGCCATCAGTATTGACGGTACCCCACTGGGAGGATGAAGTGGCGTTCATGTCAAGGTTTGTCATCGTGATGTTCTGCGAGTAGGCGACGAATGTATGCCTGTTGTGCGGTTAGCAATGGGCTCACGACCGGTAAGTATGGTTCCTCATGTCGTTGGAGAGACATACCAGAACTGGGACTGCCTCCAAGTAATTCCATCAATCCATACGTTCTTTGCATGCCAGAGTGTCAGACTGATGGGCCTACCGGCCATGTTGCTCCCATCACGGTTCACGTCGTACCACTTCTGCCCATTGCCAAAGAATAGTGCTTCACCGTGACCTTGCAGAGTGAAGTTCTCACCGCCAAGACGGAATGCTGTACTTCGTTGAGAATATGTCACACTGACGCTGTTGCGTACCCAGTACTGGATGTCGTCGCTCCAAGTCAGTTTGCCGCGGATGGAGATGTCACAGTTCTTAAGGTCCAGGACGTCCATAACTTTGGCGATGGTGTAGTCACCTGTCGTTATCTCAATCTGACCGTTCTGGCCACATTGCTTGAAGGCGTCCATGATGGAAGGGCTGTCATCCTTGGTGCCGGACGGAGTGACGGTGCAGAGTGTGCCGGTCTTGGTCATACCAGCAAGTGCTGGTACGAGCAGAAGCCATAGATGAAGTAAAGCGAGCTGAGTCATCTTGTCGACTTCGAACAGAGTCCTGTAAAGTAAGGAACAGTGGAGAAAAGCTAAGATACTCAAGCTTTATGAAAGCTTGTACGGTGGGACCGTTGCGCCCCGCAAGCAGGTGTCATCCTACAGACTATACGCATGGAGTAATCTGAGAAATTCTACCATTGGTGCAAGTATTATCTGAGATGGTAGTTTCTCCGTGCGAGTGCCCGTACCACCGGATGTTGTTCGGCTCTTGAGCTCTGAGCAATTTAATAGATGAACAGGCCGGGATATCGCTGTGGGGAGCGAAGAAGTGTGTCGGAAAGCTCTATGCGAAGAGCAGATCAAGCTGGGGATGGACTTCTCGATGGCGCATGACTGAGCATCCGAATGAGATCTGGTGTCCGGCCAATGATGAAGACTGGGACATCAGGAGCCCTTGTGAGATCAAATCCAGAGAACGTCTGACGGAGTAAGATAACCCGCGGTTACAGCCTACTGAATGACGCCTCTAAAGGCCGCCCGTGAGAAGACCAGATCGATAAAGCTTGAGTCGTTGTTGAAACCGACCTTTGAGATTGGTACGATGGTCATGCTTGGGAACCGAGTATGTGCCACATGAGTATGGGCGAGACGTCAGATTACATGAGAGCGGGATATGCAAGAAGGATCGACTGCATTGCAGATGTGTCGTATACAGCCACAAAATCAGGTTGTGTAGAGAAGGAGAGGATGTAGGAAACGCGGCACCGGTACCTGGTGCCAAGCCCGCGTCATTGGCTGGTTCCGAGCTTCCTCACGGCTCAAAGTCGGCAGCGCCATCTCGACCAGGCAATTGTGCAGCCATTGAGTGTCGCATGGGCTGCCTATCACACCCATGATGATGAACCCCGCCGCGAATATGCGTGCTCTACGCGTACGGCCATCGATACCGCGCTGCCGCCCCTCACATCGCCCGTTCCAGCACCCCAGAAGACAAGCCACGACGGCCACGGAAACCGCGACCAACGTTGGATCGGCTGGTACCCGTACCAAGAACCTCGTATACGGCACCCTCCTGACGCTCGGTGGTACCTTTGGCTACCTCTACGTCACCGACACGCGCGCAAGCATCCACGAATGGCTTGTTGTGCCTGCGCTGCGACAAATATACCCAGATGGCGAAGAGGCGCATCATGCTGGAACACACATGCTCAAGGTGCTGCATAGCTTTGGCCTGAACCCTCGGGAACGCGGCGTGGCTGACTCCCAGGGTGATCTGGCTGTCGAAGTCTTTGGACACACACTGAACAACCCGATTGGAACATCTGCCGGCATTGACAAGGGCGCCGAAATTCCGACACCGCTGTTCGAGCTCGGAGCAGGTGTGGTCGAGGTGGGAGCTGTCACGCTGCTGCCACAGGAGGGCAATCCCAAGCCCCGTGTCTTCAGGATACCCAGCCAGAACGCTCTCATCAACCGCTACGGCTTCAACTCGGAAGGCGCCGAGCTGGTCGCCTCACGATTACGACAACGCGTCAGGGAATTCGCATACCACGCTGGCCTTGGACTAGGTGAAGACGCTGAACGCCAGGTCCTCGACGGTGAAGCTGGCGTTCCACCGGGCTCGCTGCTCAAAGGGCGTCTAATGGCCGTGCAGGTTGCGAAGAACAAGACGACCTCCGAGAACGACATCGATGCTGTAGTACGCGACTATGCCACCGCCGTGGGCCATGTTGGCAAGTACGCCGACATTCTAGTAGTCAACGTCTCCTCGCCCAACACACCTGGCCTTCGCACTCTCCAAAACGTCGAGCCCTTGACGCGGTTGCTCTCCGGAGTAGTAGGCGCCGTCAAGAAGATCGATCGCAAGACAAAGCCTGTTGTGATGGTCAAAGTCAGCCCCGATGAGGACTCGGAAGAGCAGGTGTCAGGCATCTGTGAGGCAGTCTGGGACTCCGGTGTGGATGGTGTCATCGTTGGCAACACCACGAAGAAGCGGCCAGACCCACTACCGAAAGGCTACCTACTTCCCCAATCAGAAGCAAAGTTGCTTCTTGAACAGGGAGGCTACTCAGGTCCCCAAACTTTCGAGCGCACACTTTCGCTTGTCAGCAGGTACAGGAAAGCGCTTGACGAAGGCCCAAAGCACATTGCACCACTGTCAGAAGCACGCGCCGACGACAAGCCCTCTACCGGGTCTTCGAAAACCAAGCCAACGCTCGATCTCGACCAACCGTCTCCAACACAACTCTCTTCCAACGTCGACGATCTTTCCGAATCAGCACCTACAATGACCCTTCACTCTACACCCAGGACTGCTCCAGCGCCAAACGCACCACGCAAGGTCATATTCGCAACGGGCGGCATCACAAATGGTCGACAGGCGAGAGAGATTCTCGATGCAGGAGCGAGTGTGGCACAGGTATACACTGCTATGATCTATGGTGGTGCAGGCATAATAAGCAGGATCAAGCAGGAGATGAGGGATGATGCAAAGGAGCAGAAGACGATCACCAAGCGGTAGCCAGAAGAAGCGTGGGTAGGCATTGTATGTATACACTGTCTTTTCTAAATGCATTCCTCAATTCATGAGATTATCCTTCCCTCTACGAGCCAAATATGCAGTGGCTCAGTCGTGACGCAAACATGTCCTCCAAATTAAGACGCCGCTGGCTGACTCTCATTCGCCAGCCAGTCTACTACCTCTACCGCCAGTTTCATGAAATCCAGCGGCTCAGGAGGAACTATAATCTTTCCGTTAAGCACTAGCCTCAGTAGAAGCTTGATGCTTCCGCACGACTTGAGTTCTGTCCGTAAGCCCTGTCGCTTTGCTTCGCTCGCAATCAAGATGGTTACCATAGCACCATCAGTAAGACAGAAGTGGCTCTCCTTCATCTTGCGTCTTGCACGTAATGCAAAAGATGCCTGGCTTTCACACTGCTTAAGAACTTGCGAGTCTATCGGAACACCCGCATCAACCAGGTGGCGGGTCATAAGGAAGTGGGTCGTTGACCTGCCCGCGAAAGATGTCATACCTTCGACGAGATGTTGTGATCCGATATGAGCGCCGTGGCCTCTGAGGAGATCGACCAAGCTTCGATGTCCGTAACGAGCTGCTTCTAGCGATGTTTGTTGAATAAGGTGATCCCGATTAAAAAGCACGAAATCGACACCAAGTATGCGACATACGAGTTCGGAATGCCCAGCTTTGCAAGCTTCTTTCAATACCTCTTGCAAATCGCTGTGGTGATCACCTGGAAGGCGTTTCGGGATATCGTCCTTCAAAATCGTCACGAGGGTTTCGGTTTTGCCGTTTTGTACTCCATCGGTAATCAACTTTTTCCAAATCTCCGGGATTCGGGCTTTACGGCGAGTGACGAAGAATTCTAGTAACATTCGTACTGATTCTGTGTCTCCAGCTTGCATGGCATGGCACACCGCCGTCTCGAAGGTGACGAGAATCCAGTCACGTTCCCGCGCTCCAAGAGTCGGGAAATCCTGTCTCGCAAGCTCTACAAGCTTGCAAACTATTGGAGTGTGGCCACACACTGCAGCTGCTTTGATCGGGCCAGTGAGTATGCCAGAGGTGTACCCCAGAGGGTCTGCCCCTTGTGCTATGAAATGATCGACAGCTTCGATATTTCCCACAGCGGCCGCCGCGGTCAAAAGATCTACCGAGGTTATTGGCGTTGCAGAGTGCTTCAAATCTTTCCTTCGATCGTTATCCATGGTATCTGGGGGTAAAAAATCCGGTTTGCTGGAATTTTTTTCGGAACCATCTCGCAATATTTGCATGCCTGGTCTTAGGACGCTATAGGCGAGACATATATCACTAAGATAGGCCTTGCGCACAGTAGTGTCGATGTCATCGTTTGCGGGGTTCGAAAATTGCATCATCTCGTCAGTAAGTTTGTCTGTTGTCGATATTCCGTTAGCAATTTGAGCTCGACTTTCCGCCTAAAACATTTTCTCACTTACTGAGGCACTTGGTCAAGTTCAGGTTCATACCACGATTGCGCATACAATGATTCATGTGCAAAGTATGCGAATGTTTTCGGAGGAAAGTTGGGGGTCCGTTATCATGACGGTCATCAACTTCCGGCTCGACGTTGCGGAGATATTTCTCGTAAACGATTGCTGGAGTTTGCGCCAACAGTACGTGGTCGATCGCATTTCGAAACGTCCCTGTAGACGCATTAGTCGCGAACAAACAATGCCGATGCAAATTCAAGAATTAATATGAACCTGCTCGGATCTCTATCGGAGCAATCGAGTAACTACTTACGAGACACGGCGCGAGCACGAAAGCTCTCGTGGAGTGGGACGGTATCGACGTACACTTTCAGGATTGGGTCGAAGAGCTCCGCAGGTAGGGTTTGGATCAACGTCATGGCGAAGGTAGCACGATTTACTTCGACTGTGTCTTGTTTGATGGCTACATGTGTCGTGCTACGACATAGGAAGCGGGGAAGGGGCTTGTTGGATTCTTATCGATGAAACTTGCAGGGTTTGGAACACCTAGCACGTCCCCTAGGTAAACAAAGGGTCCCTTGATGAGGTAAGCGAGACGCGACCATGGCCGAGATCTTTTTGTGTGCGCGCTCGTCTCTCAATAATCTAATTACAATAACTTTGCGGGGTACTTTAAGTAGTTAGGGTTGTAAAAAGTCTAACTTGCCAACAAATGCTGCGCTGTACGTCTCCATGTACATCCACGGTATGGCGATGAGCCTTCGAACATGGGTAAAATCAACAGCCATCTTTCAAGATGCGACCTGACCCGGGGATGCTGTATGACTTGCTTAGGCCCATATACTGCAAGCACATACAAGACGTCTACTGTTCTTTGTAAATCGCCGAGCTATCGAGCTTCGGACCGAACTCGTCACGGTCACTCGATTTGCAATGCAACGGCTTGATTCTCCTCAAATTTCAGATAGAATTTGTCGTTCTTCCATCCCGCTAGACCTCTGATTGTCAATTATGATGGGAGATAATGCATGCTGAGGTGAGCCGTCACCTCTTGACGATGACGTCAGACA